CTATTTTGACATAGTTATTTCCAGGATTCAATGGTTTTCTGCCCTCTTCTCCTGGGCTAGAGGCTGGGCATTTCCTGCCTGTTGCCGTGGGGTGGCTTTGGCTGGGAGGAACATTACAGTCTTCTTCTATTCAATCTATATATATATATATATAACATTCCGCGTGGAATCTGCAAGGAATGCTGGCAAAACAACATTTTCTTATTATTACAAATTCAACAAATAAGTAAAATACAATGGCTCCGAATGGCTCAAGCCATAACATTTGGGAACTTATTCTGTAACAGCTGGGGAACTTTTTGCTTTAATTTATTTCTAATTTTTTACAATCATCATCTGATTGAAAAACTGGGGGACACACCTCTTCCACTCCTTATCGGTATCGTCAGATGAAGCCAAATTTGATTTGATATTTGGTTTTAAAATAAAATCTGACTCTCTCGAGCAGCACAGAGCAGCACAGAGCAGCACACATCTCTTCGATCGAGGGAAGGAGCAAAATAGGAAAAAAATTGCACGAACTGCGAACGCGCGTATCTTCGGCACATCACCTCTGATCGAATCGACTAATCGAGAATTAATTGCAGCGCCGATGCCGCGCGAATACCAGAAGTTGAAGGTGAAGCCCCGCGGGGTCAGCAATCGACGGAGGGGCATGGATTACATCCGGGAACACGTCGCTTCCGGGGTCATGTTCTTCGCCGACGACGACAACGCCTACGACGTTCGTATCTTCGAGGAGGTACGTCTACGCCGCGAACGTTTCTTTTTTTTCCCCGCGCATTTCGCGGATTTTTTCGCGTTCGACTTTGCTCCACGCGATCGGGCTGACGATGTGGTACGCGGAACGGGTCGTTCGAGGTCATATATATGGCTTTTTCGAAAAAAACTTTTCCCCTGAAGAATTTGAGCCCATTTCGGCACCCTGAGTCTCTGTCGAGCGCTCGTCCTGATCCCTTCATCATGTCGATTGGCACAATCTCGAAGGTAAAAATATATATTAATATTAATACTTTTGGCGGGAATTTGTCAATCTCAGTTACGAACAGCTTTTAATTGCGAACGGCTTAGTCTCGAACGGCTTCGCAGCTCCCCCAGTGTTTGTCCACAAAGGTGCTATGCTCTTCTGGGATTAATTTTTTGACACGGGGAAAAAAATGTATTACAGGTATATATGATTATCACGAAAATATACAAAATTATCAATTTGGTCTCTGGTCGGATGCGGTTTGCATCACGCACACTCAAATAACAAAATGTTGCATGAATATCATCACTGTTTCTGTACGTTATTTTCATTCCCAGAGTAATTTGCAAGCTGGGGGAACAGCGGTGCTCGCTGTTGCAAGGTAAAAAATCCCATGCCAAATCGACCGGCGAGTGAGCTCGACCATCTCGGATTTTGACGAAAATCGGCGTACACGCAGAGGAATCGATTTAAAGAAACCAATTGCAACCTTTTTTGTGTTCATCTCTCCCAGGAATGGCTCTCGATACATGCGTTTGAATGTGGCCTACTTTTCGCTCCAGCGCCCATACGGACTGACATCGTGAAACCGTTTCTGCAACGACTCGTTAAGATATGAGCTTCGTTCTGGTCGCATTTGGATCGGGAGATTGGCATCTTTAAATCGATTCCAGGCACCATCGGCAATGATTTCTCTGGCGCTTTTCGTCGTTTTAGCCGAGGTTTCGTCGTAACCGAGTTCGACTGTATTCGTGATGGAAAACCTCGCAAACAACAGCCTGTATGACTACAGGATGACTAAATTCCAGTGAAAGGAAGAAAAAATTGTTGAAAGCAAAAATAGGTTTTGGAAAAGCCCCGAGAACAATTTACGCGACACGTCCTCACACCTTCGACGCTCGACCGAGGCTCAAGCCGTTTTGCACGTGAAATCGAGTGCATTGCCCGTTTAAATTCCTCGACCCTCACGGATTCGACCGTTTCCGCGGCAGATGCGATGGACCGCGAAAGTCTCCATGTTCCCCGTGGGGTTCGCGACGAGCTACGGCGTCTCCTCGCCCGTCGTCGTCGACGGGGAGGTGGTCGGCTTCTACGACGGGTGGGAGAGGGGCAAGAATCGGCGGTTCCGCATCGACATGGCCGGCTTCGCCATCAACATCCCGTTCTTCCTCAAGGTACTCTCGATCGTCCGTATCGTCTGCTATGTGTCCGTGACGTCACGAGAACGTTCGTGAGGCCGCTCGAATGTTAACAAATGGGGATGCTTCATGACGAAGTAGGAGTGGACGTGCTAGAACGTGGATTCTTTTTACGTGATCACGTGGCCGTTTGCAATCGTGACGTCACGACTCGTGCAACCTTTAAGAAACTTTTCTTGCCTCCCGTGATATTTAAGTTGTAAATCCCATCAGAAAGGAGAGGCGGTACCACGAAAGCATTCTCATGTTCAAAGCACCACTTCTCAGAGATGATCCTATTCTAACCAGGGTTTTTCCGCATTCACAACTTATTCTCTTCTGAAAAGAAGGCAATGGGTAGAAAAATACTTCCATACCGTTGACGAATATCGCAGGAACTAAATTTGGCATACCTCCAGATAAACTCGTAAATTATTATTTTTGCGGGATTAGCAAACTTCAAAAAGCTGGACATACTCGAATGGTGCGCGCAGAGACAGAAGAAAGAGGAATCCAAGAGCGTAAGCTACGATTGTGAGCGGTGCATTGGGTATGCAGGCACCTACGAGCAACTATAGAATCCCATACAGGCAAAAAAAAATATCATTCGTCTTTAAATCGTTCACTTGCCCACTCTTCTTTCGTATTGCTACTTTGACCGACCCTTGCACCGTCCCCATAGGGCCCACTCCAGGCCCCCTTCCTCGTTCATTAAGGAGGCCCGAGAACCGTGTTTTCTCACGAACAAGATTCAAGCGTTCTATTGTGCGTACAGAATCCTCCGCATTCAAAACATGTCGGATGCAGTGGTGTAGCGTGGTTGGCATGGGCCCTGGTGCAAGGAATGAAACGGGGCCCGCTGTACAATTTCTTTCTATTGAGTTATGTGGGAGTCATTTTTTTGTTGTTGCTAGATTTTCTCCGGCAGCATATAAATCGTCGTCGGTAGCTGAAGTCAGTGTGGAAGGCAATGGCGGATACAGAAATGTTTCATAGGGGGGGAGCTGTTTCCTAGCTGGTTCCCAGCCCCCCCCCCCCTCCCACTCATCACCCTCCGTCCTATCGCCTTCCATCTGGGATAAAAACCCTGAATATCCATTTGACAGGAGCTAATAAATATTTATTTATGTGCTTTTTAAATTGAAAAAAAAAAAGATTGCGAACTTGACCAGAGGAAGGGCAGTCGCTCTCCCACCCTTCTGGATCTGCCACTGGTGAAACCCAGTTTAAAATCCCGGCTGGACTCCAGCTGTATATTCGGACCCATTCCAACTGGGTAACAGCTGGAAAGTAGTCATCTCCAAATTTGTTCCTAATTGCTATATCACTAGCTGAATGAGAATCTTTTTGTTGACTATTTTTTGTCAGAGGTCCATCAACGGGAACAGCTGATTTTCAACTGCAAATTTAGCTACGTTCCAGCCGTTGGCTCATCTTTACAAAATTCCTCATGGGAAATTTCCAGCTGGAAACAGCTTTGAAACCAGCTGCATTCCAGTTGGAAAATTCCAGCTAAGAAACAACTGGTACCTACTATTTTCCAGCTCTTTGGCAGCTGGAAATGGTCCGAATTTACAGATTTGGTCCAGTTGGAATATTCCAGTTGCGATTTTAAACTGGGGCAGCATTACAAAGCTGGATGAATGTAAGAATTGATCTTCTACATAATATAAGGAAGTTCCAAATTTTTGCAGATCCATAACTTTGGCACAAACAGGGTTAAACCATTTTCGTTTGAGTAAAATGTCTCAAAAGATTTAAAGACACTATTGATCATCCACTGGCGCGGCAATGACCGGCATGGCCCTAGGAGATGGAACTTGACCCCACCACAGAGAAAAACAACACCAAAATTAAGATGATCTGATACATTTCCAATATTTAAAAAATGAGATACGATGATGTGGAATGATTTCACGATCTGTGATGAGATCTCTTCGAATGTAAGGGCTTCCTGGATGCGGATGAGGAAGACGATCTGCTCCTTCTCCTCCTTCTGGATGCAGACTGCCGACAACGAGAATCCCTCGTCGACCGAGAGCGAGACCTCCTCCTGGACGAGGGCGACTTGGACCGGGCGTGTCGACGCCTCGATCTCCTCAAACGTGGAGGGTTCTCCTCGTGATTCTCGTCGCTTTCCTCTCTCGTGCGATCCCAGTCTGCTTCCCGGAACTCCCTTCCAGGATTGGGGAATACATGGAGGAAGTTGCACGAGTTCCCCTTGGGACATGTTCCTCTTCGATACAGCCCTGTTAAAAGGCGGTCTTTTTAAATCCTGGAATTATTCTCCATTCCATCCTCTTTTATATCGTGAGTCTCCTTTACCTATTACATATGGAACGAGACCACAAATGCTTTTAGGCCTAAGTCTACGCGTCAGAACGAAGCTTTCGTCAATGCTAGCATATATACTTGCAAAGGACTTAACCACTTCCCACACCCAAACTCTTACCTACAAATGCAATACTTGATATTTCTTCGGCTTCAAAAAAAAAAAATATTTTACCCAGTAACACGATCATTACGAAATAAACTTGTAATTTGGAAACTCGGAGAGATGAAGAGTAGAATCGGGAGACATTTTCCGATCGACATGTGATCCCGATCTGATGCGTTGGATCGTCTCTCCTAAGCCCCAACCACCACTGAAACTTCACAACGCACATGGGCCTGTTCGCCCATACTATCCATAATGGTAGAGTGATGGCACCCTTCCGGTTGGCACTTAAGAAAAAACAAAGCGACACTACTGACGCTGTCGTGCAAATAGGACACTATATATGCAAATAGGCCTTCTGTCAGGCACTAGGTGAGGTTGGACGCATTTCTAGGTTTCGGTATGAAAAATGCGGGTTCCTCGACATTGTCATAAAATGATCTTCAATACGGAACTCCTCTGCCATAAGAAGAGAATGACAACGAGAGCGATGAAATCCGGCCCTGTTAGCTTAGAGTGCTCTTACTATATATCGTCAAAGGATATCTGTGAATTCATTTCTCATATATCGTCTGCATAACCTAAGGCGGTTTACAATCGGATGGGGCTTTGGCCGTTTCTTATTTTTATTTTTTGGACGATGAAAAAAGACTCATTACCACAGATGGCAGCCTTCCATGAAGGGATGGAGACAAAAGTGGGGAAGAGCTGTTTCCCGCCGTACCACCGGCCCGTGAACAGCGTCATGGCCCTGTGTGCCTCTTCGACTCCTCGGTACTGGACGTACACGTTCCCGCGAAGGTGAGGCTCTTGGTTGGAACACACCTTCACCTGCACCACCTTCCCTGCTCCCTTCAATTCGGGCACCACGTCTTGGTAGAATTCCCTGCGGGGACGGTACGGGACGTTCCCTCTCTCTGCCGATCTCTAAAAGACATCCTGCATTGGAAGGGAGGTTTCAGGCAACGAGGTAACTTACACGAAGTGAGTTCGAAGATCGGAAGGCTCGTGTTCGAGGGAGGAATCCGCCTGTTCGTCCATGCGAAGCGGTTTCTCCAGCATCCAATGGGTATACATGTTGCGGAAGAGGAGCGTGCGGCTCTCTTCCGGCCTCTCGTGGAACCTAAAGAAAGTTGTTCCGTCGGAAGGATTCGTCGGGTCATTCGGCCACGAAAGCGAGAAGAGGCACTTACCGCGAGCAGCGGAGGCCGAAACGACAAGCACCGACTTTGGCGTAGAAAGGGCACGGCAGGGCGCGAGGGTTCAACCTCTCCTCCTCCGGGACTCCATCCGGAATGGGAGGGGCATCAGGATTCCAAGCCCGATCTGGATCGCTCTCCTCCTATTCGCCCGCGAAGCAACCGAAGAAATGTAAAGTCAACGTCCACGAAAGAAAGAGAAAACGGAGAGGAGGAAGGAACGCACAGTGGGAACGGGTTGGGAATCCAGTTGTGCCAGAGCGAGATGGAGTCTCTCCTGGAAAGAGGGAAGAGGAACACCGTAGGGATACGGAACCCCCTGTTGCACACGTCTCGGTCAAGGGGCATACCACGTAGAAACCCGTCCGAGGCGTTCTCGCGTCGACGATTTACGTCGTTTAACTTGATGGCACTGAAGCCAGAGATCGCATCGCTTCCGCATCGCGAAGGCTTTCGCTACGGATGGAACGTGCAAGGCTCGATCGCCGAACGAGTAATGACCAGGGGACAGGATGCAAGCGAACCGTGCAGTTCCCGTCGGAAGGATGTAAGTTAATCGTGTGGTTCGCATCGGTGCGATCGAGAGAGCACGCGAGTCTCGGTGGCCTGCTGGGAACTCCTTATCGTTCCCGACCGACAGGTACCTAACCGTAACGTCTACATGGCGCTCGACCGTTGCACCGAGGGGCCAGACGGCTGCAATGCGAGTAACATCATACACACCGATATCGTCTCCACCGAAACGACCCGTAGAGATTATACGGAAATCAAATGAGTCACGCTTCCGGCAGATTCATTGAAATTCCATCAAAGACGTTTCTTTCAGGTCCCATTGGTAACATCAAGCCGGTAAGACCTGTTATTAAATCGGAGATTTTCTCTTATTGCTCTCGACTGGATCTGTATTTGGATTTACCAATCCATGGAAATAGGCTCCCTTGAACCCAGAGGCTGAATTCATAATGTACAATTTAATTTATCAGCCAACTCCCCCTACACAATCATCAGCAGTGAAGTGACACCACCCTGTCTTCCAGATTACCCTGACAACAAGCCTTCAAGTAGGCGACGAATGCGGATGAGAACGGATAGAGCGGCGATAAAGGATACTTCCTGATCCTCGACACCATTTTCTTCACCTTCTTCTGCGTCGTCGTCTCCGTGGTCTCCGAGTCCCCGACGTCTTCAAGATCTCTTGTGTCTTCTCCTTCTACATCCCCCGTGTTAATTCTACACTTCTCTTCTTCCGCCTGCAGAAAAGAGGAAATGCGGCATTCTCATCTCCGACGTGCCTAATCCATTAGGATTTGTTTCATCGTCCAAAACAGAGCTGGGGTACTTGAGGCAACAATCACGGTTGAGTACGCCAGTAACATTATTTCCATATTTGATACATGTCACGGATGGAAAGCGAGACGGCGCAAGCACCTGTCGACAACGAAGGAGAAACAGCCGCTCGCCTTCCCGCCAGAGCTCCTCTGTTCTCTTCCTCTCGGCGGCGTACTCCGCTTCTTCCTTTTCACGCTTCATCTCCTCCCTCACCCAATACCCCGGACTTCTCTGTCTCGCCTCCTCTTCTGCACGACACCACATATTAATCAATCTCCATTCATGATCGATTCCAGGGAAGTAAATCGCCGACGAGACCTCTCTGGGCGCGGGCATCTCGTTCTCGTGCGGCCGCTCGGCGCTTCCTTTTCCTCCGTTCCTTCTTCAACAAGTTCCTCCAGGCCTTGTGACTGAAATCAAAGATTGAGAGAACCACACGTTTCCGTTTTACTGGAAGGTGAGAAGCAACGATCACGAAAAAGCACAGATTCACTTGCCTCAGCTTTTTCTGCGTTGCCATCAGGTCATGCCAGAGGCTGTCAGCAAGGAAGAAGCCTAGAAAGAGAAAAAACACCAGACAACGGAGAGACTCGGATATCACTCGGTCGTCAGAATAGCCCAATACAAAAACAACGGACTCGTGTGAATCAGTAAATGTCCCAGAGATGGATCGATGGATCCCGGGGTTATATTATCTACAACCCTTCGCCTCTCAACTCTTTGCAACAAAGGCAACACGACATTCCCACTTCTAACGCATTTATTCAAAATCACTTCGAGAAAATCAGATTCATATAATCTGGCTTAAATTATGCCCTCATTCATAGCAATTTATTAAAAAATATATATGCATATGTCGATACGCTCTGAAATCGTCAGTCTTGCATGCGTATGGCATAAAGGCCATGAGTATGGCGATAAAGTACCCGAGCTAGCCCGCAAACAGATGCAATATATAAAAGGAGGGAAAGAAAGAAATGAAAAGAGGAGGAACGTGGTAACTGATGCCGAAATCATTGGTGGGGGGTCGGATTCAAAATCCAACGGGATTGGTTTGTACGATCCCGCCGTGAGCGCATAATTCCTCTGATATCTGGGACATGAGCTTGAACGTCTCGCCGTGGCGGGCCGAGCGCAGGATCCCCAAGTTCATCTGCACCCGATCCGACGCCTAAAGCACACCCATCACACGTCACATCGGTGCGGAAGGAAAAAGGGAAGGGAAGCGGAGGGAACAGACCTCGTGACACCAGACTTTGGTGACCTTCTCCTCGAAAGCCGCGGAGGAAGCGTTGGCATTCAGGGACGATGTGGCTCGGCTCAACACGACGATCATGCCGTACACGTCGATGGCCGCATTGGCGAGCCGATTCAGGAGGAACTGTTCGTTCACGATGTTCCTTCCATGCTTCATCAAAAGCCCCTCGCACGCACCTCCAAATGCCTCGATCGCCTGGAAACGAACACGTTTCCAATGCGAAGGGCACATCATAATATTTTCTGCAGTATTTTTGGACCCTTTCTCTTGTTGCATATACGCTAATGGTATTTCTCAGTGTCATTCATTTAAATAATTACAATCACTTCGTCATCACGCCCTTTAATCGTGACTTTACCTGCTCAATAAAACGACAGGATGTATAGTTTAGCGCAAATATCTAACATCTTATGGTGCATGGTACATATACGAGGTATCGAGTGCTTTCTTGCAGAGGTATTCCCTTTCAGCCCTGTACAACATATGAGGTGCGAAGAGTACCAGCGGTGGGAAGTTCTTTTCCCCCTTTGTTTTTCAAGAAGCACTGTAAATCAAGTTCATTCTGAAGAAATTTATAAATAGTAATATGTCGTGCAATTATCTAACTATATTTCAATTAGGGACATGACTTTTTGAAAAGGATATCTACAGAAAATGTCAATACATTTAAAGAGCTAATTTTTAAAGTGAAATGTGGCATCGTCAATTCCACACTTTCAAAATCATGCCTACCCGACTAAAACCATTTAATAAAATGCACTGAATGTCATGCAGCCAGAAGACAACATTCAGAATTTACAGAAATGTCAATGTTCAGCTTGCCAAAATGAGCAGAACCTCAATCTTCCATGTGGCCATTTATGGGCTGACCTACACCCTGACAGGCTGATAATAGCTTTCACTTAGCTAAAGTTACGATTAAACAAGTCACATTTTCAATGGGCTTTAAAAAAAAATAAAGTTCACATTCAAGAAAAGAGTCTTTGTAGATGGAGTTAAATGCTAGCCTTTAGGACCATGGAAAAGGATGAACAAAAGAAAGGCAAACTAACAACAGCAGCCTGCTGAGCCTCAGGATGGATATTTGGATGGACAACAGATGTGAGGGGGAGAGTGGATCCGGATCCAAGACCGACTATCTGTTTCGCCCTCTTTGTCCCTTCACCCAGGATCAAGCCCAGATTTGCTACTGGATTTGCCATGGCCTTCTGGAGCTCCTTCAAAAACCCTCCTGCATACTGGAGCCCCGTGAGGGCAACGAAGAGACGAAGGATGTCATTTGTGCCTTCAAAGATGCGGAAGATGCGCAGGTCTCGGAGTACACGCTCCAATCCTGACTCTTTCATGTATCCCATCCCTCCTAGAACCTGGATTACCTCATCTGTCACCTTCCAAGCAGCCTCTGACCCAAATATCTGGAGAATTGAGATAGCAAGCCAATTCTTCATGAGATATTCCAGGTCTTGAACCTGTACAAATGGTGTATCATACCTTAGAGATGGCTGCTTCGATCTGATAGTCCTGAATCCCCCGATCCATGTTGGATGAGACTATGTAAGCCATGGATTCAGTGACATAGTGTAGCATAGCCATCTGTGCCAGCTTCTCCCGGATTGCTCCATATGTTCCAATATTTGACCCAAATTGCACTCTGGCAGAAAAATGTTAGTATACCTATGGTCAGCATTTTAAGGCTACAGTAGTCAGTGCTTCAGGCCTTTTAAAAGCATATTCTGCCTTCTTAGTGAAATGTGCCACACTGAAGAGAGCCCTTTTCCATTTCTGTTCTCTTGGAACATAGAGCAACAAGCAGTGGTTCTGAATCTGTATTCTATCTACTCAACATTGAGATGATAGCTGAAGAAAGAAGATTTAAAGGTACAATCAACCCTCAACATAGTGCCACCCAATATACTCATGCTTATCGCCAACTCTTTCCCGAGAATGAATCTTCCCCAATGGGTTACCATAGTAGCTCCCCCATTATACTCGTTATACCGTTATACAGTGTTGGGCGCGTTACTTTTGAAAAGTAACTAGTTACAATTACAAGTATGTCATCCAAAAAGTAATTAGTTACCAGTAGAATTACTTCTCACCAAAAGTAACTAGTTGCAAGTAGAAGTTACTTTTTAAGTTACTTTTCCTGAACAAAAATTCCGATCTTTCNTAGAAGTTACTTTTTAAGTTACTTTTCCTGAACAAAAATTCCGATCTTTCTACAGCTTCTCCCCTTCTTCGACAGAAGCTGGATGCATGGACTGAAAGCGAAAGTTACCCCTGATTTCACGAAAATTGAATTATAATCATCACTTAACGGGATAAATACTCATGCTCACTCTTTTCCCTGTGCCTCTTCCCTTTCTATATAACAGGAATTATACGCCGATAGACAGAATGCACCCTTTTAGTTTAAAAAAAAAGCCAATTTACCATTGGTGATGGGAAGACCTACCCCTTCCCTTATCATGAGTTCCAGATAGAAAAAGAGAACAAACCAAAGTCACGTTCTCTTGTTTTCCCTTAACCAGACATGGACTGCATGAATCCGGCTCATACAGTGATTGAAAAAGAATTTTCACAAACTTTTTACAATGTAATGGTATTTTTCATGGCGCAATCAAGGAGATGAGCGTGAAATGAAATATGGGGAATTGGGACTGAGGTGTTCATACCAGTAGAATTACTTCTCACCAAAAGTAACTAGTTACAAGTAGAAGTTACTTTTTAAGTTACTTTTCCTGAACAAAAATTCCGATCTTTCTACACTTCTTCGACAGAAGCTGGATGCATGGACTGAAAGCGAAAGTTACCCCTGATTTCGCGAAAATTGAATTATTATCTCTGTCCCAGAGGCGCCTGGCGGCGAATACCCCCCGTAAAATACGCCACTGCAACGATGGAACTCTGTATTCGTTTCTGACCTGCACATCGAAATATGTTTGCAGGTACAGCCAAGAAACCTGCACTGAATAAACCATGTTTCCTCAAGGCAATTTCATGTCCCCGTCTTTCCTCCCAATACTGCATCAATTAGGATGCATATGGCCATGAAGCGCTGGTTGTTTTCTGCTATTTTAGTAAATCATCAAGAAAAGGAACGCGTTACAGTAACGCCACATACTTTTCCCATGAAAAAGGAACCCGTTACCGGTTCCGTTACCCTCCCCTGAAAAGTAACTCGTTACCTCAAAAGTTACTGAAAAAAGTAATTAGTTACTGTAACGCGTTACTTTTACTTCGTTACCGCCCAACACTGCCGCTATATATATACACTCTTGCAAGCTGCCATCTGCCAACACCTTGACTTGCACAAACGTGTCTTATTCTACATAAGTCTTACTCGATATTGCATCAAGCAGCATATTGTACCAGCCTCAATCATCATACCATGCATAATAGGTAATGCTGTCAGCTGCTCCTTTTGATCACATGAAAGTGAAAGTCAACAAAACTTTGTGAATAATTTTCCTACGTTTTGGGACACTAAAGTGCAGAGACAGTGCATGAGAGCTCTTCTCATTGAAAATAAGAAACAATTGGATTTCATCATGGATAGAATGGATGAAATCATTTTTCAAAGCTGTGTAGTTTGAAGCAGAGACCATTGGCAGCATATGACTTATTTTTGCATACATTACATACATTGTAAAAAAATCTCCATTATAAAGCCATACACTTAGATTTAGTGTCAAATTCGGCAAAGACCAACAGTGGCAGTATATCGAGAGCTGATTGTAGCAGTAAAGGATGGAAATCAGCCAGCCTAAATTAAAATATTGGCCTTTAAATTTTTTTTCGCCATTGTTAAAAATGAAAACAAGCACATTCTTCCTGTAGTATCATAGAAGCATATGACACACAGGAGCACATATTTTATGAAGTAAAAGCAATTAGTGCCAATATAAATTTGCATATTTTAGAGTCTTTCCAAGCCCCATTTCCAAAAGGTCATTAATTCCCAATTATGAAAATTTATGCACATATCTGCATAAATGCATATATTTAATCAATTTTCTGTCAAAAAAAAAAAGAGAATTGGTCTACAGGTTGCCTATTTTCAGGAAAGACTTTTTCTCCCTGATTTCCATAAAGAAGTTCAGAAATGGATAGTGGAATCCCCCAACATCGAGAGAAACCCTACCTCATATCAACATGCAGGCTGGGAAAAAGATTTATGGTAGACTTGTTAGATCATTCAACCTGTCAACCAGACCCTACTACTCAGGGAAGGAAGCATATAAATCAATACTGAAGGATGTGTCCCACCCATTATAGGTTACATTGCATGATGCACATCAGAAGGAAGGACCCCTGTAATGGAAGAGGCTTGGACTTCCTAGAATACAAATGAAAAAATCCAAAAGTTTTGTGATTAAATTTCTGCTAGATGAGCCACTTATTATGATACTCTGAAAAGTATTCCTCTCTTTCTTTCTTTTCTTTTGTTCCTCCCACTGCTGATGAAGCAAAGCAGGGCAAGAAAGTTCTATTCCTTGTGCCTAAAAAAGATTCCACTATACCTGAAACTTACTTACTTATCAGGCTGAATACAGTGAAACCTTGCTAATCCAGATGCCACTGGTCCAGACTTCAGTTAATCCAGACTAGAGTTCGAGAGTGACTCAGAATAAAATGTGTTTTGTGTGAAAAGCAGTGTAGTAACCTTTGTACAATACATAGTCCTCAAAACCCCTTTTAAGTTGAAAAAGTTTAGATTTTATATTTCTTATTGATCATTTACAAAGTTAATATAAAGTACAGTTTTGGATTTTATAGGTTTATTATGCTTCATTTACATGTTTAATGCATTTTTTCCTATATATTTCGGACTGTCCATACTTTCGGCTAATCTGGACCTCCCCTCCCCCCAATTAGTCCATACTAGCAAGGTTTTACTGTATATGGATTAGCAACCACTGGCATCAATCACTGATATGGCATAAGCTGCACTATTGACCATTCGCTGGTTTTCACCCTGTCAGTGCTGATGAAAGTTTGCACTAGCAAATGCTTTCATCTGCAACAACTTTCATGAGCAATATCTGTAACAATGGATAACATCTTAACAAATTTTCAACTTTTCCCTTCATCTACTAGCTACAATTGACATGAGCACCAGCATTGGGCAATAAGTGCAGCATCATCAGCCATCAGCACCACCACCATCAGACCATTAGCCCATCAGCAAGAAGCTACCATTGGTACAGCCTTGGTACTTAGAGTGAATTATGGGAAATATGGTATCTGGGAAACATGCAAGAGGTAGTGTATTCCTATGAAGAATGATGACTGGGTGTAAAGAAGCTACATCTGACCTGTTGACAGCATGATCAACAGCCTTCTGGATGACAGCCTTCATGGTGCCGGCCATGGCAGCCCCCATGCCAAAGCGGCCATTGTTCAAGATGCTCATGGCCACCTTGAATCCTCCTCCTACTTTTCCAAGGATGTTCTCCTTCGGAATCTTCACATCTTCAAAGTAGACTTCGGTTGTATTAGATGCCTTGATCCCCATCTTTTTCTCAGGAGGACCACTTGACACCCCCCCAAATCCACGCTCCACAATAAATGCTGTCACACGGTCTGTTGGATAAAAATGATAATGGAAGTGAATCATAGAATATACCTAAGATACTCAAAAGGAACGTGGTCCTACCTCCCCCATCAGGCATAGGTGTCTGAGCAAAGACTGTAAAGACCTCAGCAATTCCACCATTGCTGATCCATATCTTACTTCCATTAAGGATGTAATGAGACCCATCAGAAGAGGGAATAGCTCTGGATCTGATAGACATGGCATCACTTCCACTTGATGGCTCAGTTAGACAAAAAGCTGCAACCTTCTCACCAGAAGCAACAGCAGGAAGGTACTTCTGTTTTTGTTCTGGGGTTCCAAACAATAGAATCCCCTGGATAAAGAAATAAAGACCATCCAAGAAACACTCAAATCACTTAATTGTAACCATCAACATCAGCACCTACTAGTGGCAATCATAATTCCACCATAATTAAATGCTTAAACACAAAATGGTACACATAATGTATGAAAAGTAACTTAAAGTTTTCTGTTTCTGTTTTGGGACAATATACAACTTTGTACAAGATGTCCAAAAAAAAACTTTCACCATTTAAAAGGTTCACTGTTTCTTTATAGATAGACATATAAAAAGCATGGCATATTCATTGAAATGAACCAAATTTTTATTCCATGTAGAAGTTGTTGATTGAATTAATGAAGCACATGTTCAAAATGTCCCCCATTATGGAGAATGCATTCTTGAATGTGCCTAGCACAATTCAAGATTGTTCCCTGCACTTGTTTTCTGTCTATGCCTTGTATTTTCTCCCTAATGTCATCCCTCACTTATTCTGTGGTCCACAGGTTTGTCCTAAACACTGCATCCTTCAGGGGTTACCCTAGGGGTTACCACACAGGTAAAAATCTAGGGGTGAGAGTTCCAGGGATCTCTTGGGGGATTGTGTCATACTGCTGCAATTGTTATGGAGTGGTTGTGACAATACTTCTCAAATCTTTTGATCACGCATTGATCAGACATTTTATGGCCACCATGATCCTCTGATCTCTTGCCTCTAGATTTTTACCTGTGGGGTTACCTGAAGGATGAAGTGTTTAGGATGAACCCATGGACCACAGATGTGAAAGATGCCATTAAGGAGTAAATCCAAGGCAGAGACAGAAAACAAATGCAGGAAGCAATCTTGAATTGTGCTAGGCACATTTAAGAAGGCATTCTCTGTAATAGGGGTAATTTGAAACATGTGTTTCATTAATGCAATCAACAACTTACATATGGAACAAAAATTTGGCTCATTCCAATCAACATGTCATGCTTTTTATGCATCTATCTATAGAATTAAAGAAATATTGTGCCTTTTAAATGACAAAGGTTTTTCAGAAGATCCAGTAGAATTGATTAGGGGCAGATGAGGCTTTACTAGTCTATTTCCTATCTCACTTTGGATTCTTTTTTTCTACAGGAAGGAGCAATAATCTGATCATGTTATAAGTTAGCTGCTTTCCAGTTCAAGTTCAGCAGTTCAAGAGTCCACTCCTTCCAGTAGCTAGACACTTGTAGCTCTAACTCTGTTAATGTTAACTCTAGCTCAAGTTTTCAATAGGTCTGGTAGCTTCTGGTATCCCCAGTAGGAACTTCCATAAGCTGTATTACATCTAGAGAGCACCAAGCCACACAAAAAAATAAGACAAATGCAAGAGTTAACCTTGAATCCAATGCTTTGATGTGCTCCAAGCATGACTGAGACACCTAGGTCTTTGGCACCGATGATCTCTCCAAGACGGGCATATTGAGTGTTGGTCAAGCCAAGTCCTCCATAGTCCACTGGGACTTGTACTCCAAATGCTCCCAGCTCCCTTAAGCCTTGCATCGTCTCTTCAGGTACAGTCTCCAAAGAGTCATTCTTGGCTGCATCATTTTCCTTCTGCAATTTACCAAGCAAACTGTAATCATCAGCACTGACAAAATGGCTCACAAAAAAAATACTCTCAATAAGGGCAATATCCTCATATTGCCAGGAAGTCACATTTATGATCATTCAATTTCAATTTTTAATACATGGGTGTAGTAACCTAATGACTTTTGCTAGTTTTGGATTACCGATGATCATGTTCTGCAAGTTGGAAAAATAATTACCAAATTTAATAACCATATAATATAGTGATAATAACCAATAATTGGCATGGAAACCATCAATTACTCAAACCAAATAGAAGTTGTCCCCTAACAACCTCCAAGATGGCAGATTGTGAACAGATAACCCTAGGGTATAACAAGGATATATACTGTTATCAGCATGATGGTGCAAAGAGAGAGAGCATAAATGGCTTCAGCTGCTGTGGTATCTACAGTGTGAACAAAAAAAAATATTAAAGCTGCATAATAATTTCTTCACAGGGAGTGCACTAGAATCCACTCAGAACAATGCTTATAATGCACCAACTCTTTGGCATGTCATTAGCAATACATTTACCAAGTGGCTTCAGCTATTTTGAAAAATGGCTACCAAATGTGACTGACATTGATTGGCACAGTCCAAAATTAATGAAAGAAAGCATCAGACTATTGGGGCATCAATACTCAAATCCCAGATTCTAGAACTGGTCTTTCTATAATCTGTTTCCTGAAGCCCACCCCAAGCATCTTAATCTGAAGGACCAAATCAGGGCTGTTCAGTGACCACATTTCAGGTTCTACTTAGTCTGTCATATCTGATGCAAGACAGAGATAGCAGTCTAAGACCTACATGATTATGCATCATGTCGTTGAAATATGAACCTGGCTGGCTGGAAGATGAATCAACTGTCTGGATATATATCAGACACCAGAAACCACATATTTCATAAGAACAATTTTTGACTCATGTGATAATTCAGTTTGAGGGACATTTCAAGAACACTTCAGGAAAAGTTTTCTAGATTACGATCTTCAAGAATCTGTGGGATCTACATCCAAAGACCATTCAAATATTGAATGCTATCTCTAAGTGACTTTCACCAGGGGGGTGACCAGTGGCAGTTATCTACATGAGCCTTTTTTCAGTGGGATGAAAGCCATATTGAAAGATTTTCCACATATTTTCACAAATCCATTTGGCCATCAAAGGATTTCAGTTCTCTTCTACAAAAAACTGAGTGTCATGATTTTTTGGCCCTCCATGTACTTGAGCAATCTAGTTTGCTTCATTGATTAAATCAATCTGGTTTTTCATATAATCCTTTCCATGGTAGTGTCTCCATTTGCAGACACTATTTGAAAAATTCATTTAAAGCTTGTAGCAGCATATGCAGCAAATATTTGAGGGAAAACAGAAGTCCAATTGAAGAATGAACTATCATTCAGTCTGGGCAATGAGAATCAGTTAAAAGCAAGTTTTTGCTTGACTTCAGGGTGTATCCATCAACTTACATATTAATTTGCCATGGAAAGGGCACACACAGACACAGCCTATAACAGGCACAAGTTATATTCTCTTTATTTACCTCTAATTTTTTTACTGACCAATTCTAACATATTGTTCATCAGTCTTCAGTGTTTCTCTGTTCTTGTATGCTTCTCTTCACATTTCTTATCTTGTCAAGAAGCACATCTTGACAAACCATTATGTAGCTATAGCTCATGGATCCATTCATTCCAGTTTACTTAACTAAAGTTTAAATTAAAAAAGACTTTCAAATCAGCACCATGTAAATTGCAACTTGTTTTCTATAATGAACAAATGTGCTTAAACACGGAGGGCTAGGATTGAGCTGATCCCATGACTTATATGAAGGCTGATAAGCTGGGCCTAGAAAATACAGATGTAATGATATAATTAGTGATACTGGATGCTGGGGAAACAAGTTTCAGAATAGATGTGGATAATAGTATCAGCAGTACTTGATGTTTATACAAAGGAACACAGTTGTAAAGGATGCATGATTGTCTGCAAAATTTTGAGTGAAATCTGATCCCAGAAGGTAGAGAAAAGAAACAACTCTGATATTACTTTGAAATGATTCACTGTATTGTTTTGAAGCATTTGCTACAACCATTCCATGTGGTTTAAATATTTGCTACCATCAGTCAAATCCTTTGACAGAATATCAGTATTGTTACCAATACATCAATATTAGTATACCTATCAGAATTTCAATATTCTATACCACCCTATGAGAAAACATAATGGCAGTATACCTCTATGTTCAAGACCACCAATGGAAAAATTACAAGTCATTAAATATAAAAATGGTTAAGGCCTAACTATTCCTAAAAAGTATCATCTACATTAATGCATATGAGCACCACTACTATAACCATATTTTTACCAACTAAAAAAGAAAACAGGACACTTCATCTAACATATTACAAGAGCCTTGAGGGTATTGATATATGAGAAAGAGATCTCAAAATCTCTGCAATAGTGAAAGACAAGCATGGGCCAAAGCCTATATCTAACCTCAAAGAATTTATTGACAGGGTCGACAAACATGCGCATGGTTTCCTTTTGTTCAAGAGTAAGGATGTCTGGGTATGGGAAGACCTGCTCCACATTCACCTTCCCTCGAAACAAGTTGAAGGCAAATGAAGAGCTCTCTTCTTTCTTCTTGTCAAATTCCTTCTCCCTGTGGGTTGGTTTTGGAACAGCTGCAGCTGCCGTTGCATGTCCAAGCACCTGGACCCTCCTGCAATTGGGTCCACAACAATTCCAGACATTATGGCAGATGTTATGGAGATGCCTACATCTATCCTATGCTATCAAGTCATCCAACCTACTTGAGGGGATTTTGTCCAGGTGTGCCAGAATGGCGGGTCACTACCCTCGTCCAAGGCAGAAGCTTTGATGAAGACATTGCCATTCAAATCACTCACAACTGAAAATATTAGGTGTCAGTTAGGTAACTTACTGAAGTCAATACACTCACAAACTTTTTCTGTCCAACAAGCTACAAGACTGCCCCAGTGGCCCCACAGACACAGTTTCCCCACTCCCATCACTCCAATATTAGGCTACACCTAGGCCCATGCAGCTTATGATAAGCCTAGGCCTAGTATATCACTATTAAATTGTATCAGGCCTTCATCCATTGGGTATTTATTAATGCATGCAAGTATTACTCATGAACAAGACCTAGCTATCCATTATTGTAGAAAGGAAAAATTTTCAGGCAACTCCACATAAAAAACTTGATGAGAGGTAATAAACCAACATCCATGACAAGTAACAAGTAAAGACTCTTACGCAAGTGAGGTCACTCCATGAACACAGCATTTTGTTGCATGGTTATTACCTTAGGATTTGAGCATCTCATGTGAGTAGAGGTAATTGTAAATCTGCAGAAAATAAATGAAATTCTGTGGAGTGAGGGCTGGTGAGGAAAAGGTAATGAGATTTTAAACGAACCTCAAGCTGCAAAGGATATCTGATCGTGATTGAAGAAGGGAAATTTTCAAAGAAAGCGGATGACTAACAAGATGCAATTTTCTACGGCTATGCCCCTCCCGCCTGGAGTGAAAAGCATGCCACACGCTTGTGCTTTTTCCTTAAAGTCAGTATAACCTAGGTACATGGCGGAACTTAGGTTTCCGACATTTAGGTGTAGCTTAGGAGTTTCACAATCCTTGAATCGCGGACTTGTACCACGAGACGACACCAGTATTGTTCCGAATCCCCTGCGCTATGAAGAAAAACAAGGTTGGCCTTGGCCTACTGCGCGATGGTAACGCACATGTACTGAAGCGACCTCTCCTTGTCTACGCATACGACTCTCCTTACAGAATTGATAAAAGTTTCAGTGACGGATCCAAGAGGTGGGGGGATGAGGGGGGGTTGGAACTAGAGAGCCCCCCTCTATGCATAATTTCTGTATCCGTCACTGAGATGATATCCCTCTGACTCTCCCACCAAACGCAGTGCAGTGTCCAGTACGATAAAGGCACTTTCCAACACCTTTGCTAGGGGTTTCAGGATTCCTGTTTCCCTTTTCCAGGGATATCCGAGAATTTCGATCCGGGATTGGACTGTATCGACCGACATGCATAATTTATTTTTCGAATCTACGTTGAGACAGTCTTCCGGACGATCACGGAGGTTTTGGGTGATGGTATTATTCGTTACTGCACCATGGGGATTGTCCATGTTTACAGGTCCACCAAGTTTCCTGTTACGCCCAACCCAACCGTTTAAGATCCCGATTCCCTTCATCCCTCTTCGGGTAGGTTCGGGTCGAGCGGAATTTCTTTTCTAGGATTTTCCCCCCTTCAAATCTTGCCGCTAGGTTGGTATCGCGGCCTGCGTCTGCATTGAGGTCTCGTTTACGCCTTTAACCAAAGAGATGAAATCAAATGATCAAAGAGGAAATGATTTATGGCCAGTGGCGGTTGACACTCTTGTTAATGCATATAAAACCTGAAATTATGTGTACGTTTATCACACTGTCGATAGGTCGTGTCTCGCGACTCGTGAGGGCACACAGAATTGCACCTCGAGGCTCCAATGCAGGAAGAAAATTGCTGTACAATAGCTGAATGGAGCAGGCCGTTCTGCAAAAAATCTGTTTCGGGAAGAAACCATTCCTATTTTTGAGGTTGCAGTAGAGTGTGCATTACAACAGAGCCAGTGCTGCATCAGCTGGAAGCAGCATGCAGCTATGCTGTCCGTTAACTGACTGTGACTATGTTCTGCGTCGAGCATCTAGCATACTATACAGCAGGAGTATCAGTATCAACTCGGTCTTCAGCGACTTGAGAAATATGTTCAGAATCCGTCTAATTCCTGGACGGGGGGGGGGGGGGGGGAAAAATCGACCTTTTGCTCTGTAAAGGGCGTTTCAGACTTGTCTTGCGTTGATGCTTGGTCAGGCAGTTGGACGCACGCGTGCACACACATGTCCACTTATAATGTCCAAGGGTTTTCAGAAAACCCAAGACTTGCGTTTTGCAAAGCACTTGGATTTAAGTCGACATGTGCGTCCAACTATTTTCCCAAGCATCCATGCAAAGAACGTGATACACGTTAAGTCTGAAACGTCCTTACGGAGGCAGTCTCCCCCCCTTCCTCCCTGTTGGTGCGCCCATGATGTTCTTCTGTAACCAGGGCCGGCCAGTTGCGAGGCCCAGGGCAAGTGAATTCTTGGGGTTCCCCCCCCCCGGCTACTTTACGCAAATGCAATACTTTTTTTTTAACTTAACGTTTTTAATTTCCTTCGGGGGCCTCCTGGAAGAGTGGGGCCCGGGGCAACTGCCCCCTTTGCCCCCCCCCCTTTAATCCGGCCCTGTAACGTCCAGGACTCTCAGCTTCTCGGGGCTCCCATTTTTCAACGGATGGAAACGTCGGGAGTCAGGAAACCTCGGCGGATCGGCAACGACGGCCGTAGAGGCACCCACGCGAATCGCGAATCGATCTTCCAGCCTCATGAATCCATCGGGAATCGCAGAGGGAGTTCACGAACGGAAAATATGCATCCAGAACGTCCGTACGACTCCTTTGCGTCCCTTCGATCTAGCACGTACTCTCGCTTACCGGTTCTCGATCAGTGTGACGAAAGTGACCGAGTGTCGAGTCTACGTACGGCCCCGGCATGAAATCCTTAAGGAATGCGCGTGGTTCCCCAATCTTCCAAGCGCTTCCGTGCGATAAGCTATCTAAGGCGAGCTCGAGGAATGAGGATGGATTCGGATTCTAAGCGACGTCGATCGGTCGGCTCGATTCTTTTTCAGTCCGGTCATGTTTTAGCCTGAAAGAGTTTCAGTTTAGGGAGACTTGCATTGGATCCGTTTTACTTAAGGCCGATCTGATTTCATAAGGGGTGTCTATTGGAACAAGATTATCTCCGTGAAACCGATTCCCATAGGGGACCATCGTGCATTGAGATCAGTTTAAGCTAAACCGATCTGGTACGTGTCACCCTTAGTCTCATACTAGCGAGTTTGTTTACCTGGAGAGCAAGCGAACTCGCTAAGGTACCTCCGGGGGGGGGGTCCGAATTTTGAAACGCCACCTAATCTATGACCATCCCTGGACCAAATAAGGAAGTCATGCAAAGTTTGGTCGGAATGGGTTCAGTGGCGTGGCCGTGCATAAATGACACACACACAAACATAAAAAATATATAAGTAATATAGATTCAGCAAGTCGATTTCGTACGATGCCAAAAGTTTTAATTCGGTCGAGTCACAACATCGTCGATGAGTCACGTTTCTATTCGTTAATTTCCAGCCTATTTATTTGCCTTGGATTTGTTTCCTGTTACCTCTATCTGGAAAGTGTTTGAAGTGCCGAGGGTTCCTTCCGCATCTTACGACACGGGATGGATTATTTTAGGCGAGTTTTGCTGTCATGAGATCGCACCTGCCAGTCAACGACAGCAAAACCATGGTGGGCGTTCCTGACGTGTCCGTATGTTGATGTTGCTAAATTAGCGTGACCCCGATTTAGTACCCACAGTGCCGGTGGGATCCGTAACGATTTACAAGATGGTACAACAGGTAGGGAAAAGTAAAATAGGTTTTGGTGAGACCACTGACCCGAAAAGGGTCCACCCACGTGATAAGAGAGAAAGATCACATACGCTCGCATACACACATGGGTAATCCTCTACTGAATAGTTGTGGTGAATAGGTGAATAGTTTTGTCTTTTTCCACCTTGAGAGTATTTAATGTCATCGATGGCGTGCGTTCGTATCGTTTCGTCGCGTCCCTCGGGTCCGTCGTTTGACTTCGCCGTAGTCTCGTTCGTTAAATCGAATCGATCGATCCTCGGATAGCATGAAACATCGTGCTTACATGCTTACATTGCCTGGAGGTTGCTAAGGTTGATTGAATATAGAGATGGGCTGGTAACGTTGATCCAAAGTTGGTGGAAAGTGGGCTTGCGATGTGGGGTCATGTGTGCTGTCGAGATTGGGCCAATGTCAGTAGATCGTCGGCAAAGAGAGGATACGCAAGGTTGAGTGCATGCGATCCGTCAGAGTTGGAAAAACGTTGATAGGAAATAGGCATGCGATTTCGTATACGTATGGCTAGCCAAGGTTGGGGCAACGTCGGTAAAATGGCGGAATTTGGTTTCACAATATGGAGTAGTGGTGGCCTGTCCATAACATTGTCACTGGTTCACATCGTCAAAGATGTTCATCAGAGGCGGGGCTTTTAATACAGAGATGATTAACGCGAGGGAAACCGATGTATCGCTATATTTCGCAAACATTAAGAAAAATTACATGATTCTAGCTTAAGCTATATGCAGAGACTTTTGTGCCCCAAAATATCCGCATTATCTCCCGGAAAATTGTTAAATGTTCTAGAAAGTTAATATGTTATGACTTACCATTCGACGGCGTACGTGACTTAGCACATGAAGAGCTGACATCTGAAACCGACGTGGGCTGTGTAAGATGACTAGGGATCTTCCTCAGGGATTGGATGACCAGCGATCTCTGCGCTGTGACTATAAATCCTAGGTGCACGGCCTGGAACAAAGATGTCGCCCTGGTGCTCGACTGTCAGCGTCGAATCTGTTAAATCAGTTTTATTATTATCATTATTATTAGTATTTGTTATCATAACTTTTTTTATAGAGGAAAAGTAATACCTTCCAGTACTATAACACTAGGAGGCACACAGTACGAAATGTTTTGAATCCACAGTCAAGTCCAATTGAGTGATCGCCTCGGCAATGCTGCAAATCTAGCAGGTTTGAATGCAACCATTCCGGTTGGAGATCTGAGCAAATAAAACCTCAGCTAATATATATAGACGATTGTGACTGTGACGAGTGTGTGTGTATTTTATCCATTTAGTCGTGTTCGACTCTTGGTGACCAGATGGACAAGCTCTCGCCAGCATTTTCTATCCATGGCCAACTCCTTCAGTTCTTGCATCCCCAGTAGTGTGTCTTCCATGATAATGTCCATCCATCGTGTTCTCTGTCGTACTCTCCTTCTTTTCCCTTCCGTTTTACCAAGCACCAATGTCTTTTCTAATGAGTCTTGTCTTCTCATTATATGATCAAAATATTTCAGCCTCGATTTTGTTATTGATGCCTCCAGAGAGCAGTTCGGCTTCACTACGTCCAAAGTTATTTGTTTGTTCTCCTTGCAGTCCATGGTATGTTCAGCAATCTTCTCCAGCACCACAATTCAAAAGCATCAATTTTTTTCCTTTCAGCTTTTCTGATTGTCCAGCTTTCACTGCCATATGATGTAACTGGAAAAACCATAGCTCTGACAGTTTTTACTTTTGTCGACTGTATGATGTCTCTGC